ATTGCCTCACCAAAAAGCAAATAGTATATATATATATATCTTTGCTTTTTGGTGAGTCAATATATATATATGCATATATATATATGCATATATATATATATCCATTAATATCATTGCCTTTGACTAGATGCTAGAATTCTAGCTAAAGTGTTTCTGGTAATGGAATTTAATATCTTAGTGGACTTGGAAAATTAGGCTTGTGATATCCATGCATACTGATCGCCCAAATCTTGGTATAGTTCTTAGACACACAAAATATGTTAAGGGCAAGGAAAGCAACAATTTGAAAACAATTGTATTTGAAAATAATAACCTGGAAAATTCATTATTTAGACAGTGACAGACGAGAATCTTTATCAATGGAAAGGTATCAAGACAGATACAGGAATGAGGGTCTTTTTGATCTGACATCTCAAATAATTGACTGGCTAATGGCCATACTTTGCTGCAACTTAAAGTGATTAATAAAAAGCACTTTTGAGTTAGATTTTTATGGACAATTAGCAAATTTTGTTTTATCTCATGAATAAGCATTCATCTCAGAAATTACATTTAACTGATGTTGTTCAAACTGTACTTCCATGGAAGAGCTTTAAAGAGTAATTAGGAACTTAAAATTTAATTTAAAAATCACCTCATCTTTGTTGATGAGCAGAGTGTGTTTTATTCCTTTCTCCATTATTCTGAAGTGAGACCAAAGGCATTATGTGTTAGGTATGGCTTACTGATCGATGGCTTAAGGATCTATGTGGTTCTTCAGAATCTTGTGTTGTGGCCCTTAAAGCAATAATGAAGATATAAAAGCCATTTATAAATTGTGCTTAGGGTAATTTTGAGGAACCAGGAGAAATTTTGAGTACACTTAATAACTAGATGCTTAATACTTCCATTTAGCAGTTCTACTTAGCATAATATGAGCTAAGCATTGTGGGTTTTTTTGGGGGGGGCGGTGAGGAATAGAGTATATATCAATAGTGGTAAATTCTGGAGCTGCCCATGGTCAGGATGATCATCTTTTTACAACAAGAAGTTGTGCTAAAGAAAATGGTTCTTTTAGAAATGTACTCCTTTCAGTAGAAAGATGAGGGACTATGTAGAATATTGCCTATACTGTCCAATATGGTCACTTCTGTCTTACTTAACCATTTTGCCTTTGTTACAAAGGAGTACTCCTTGAGTATGATGGGGTGGAGCATATCTGGAAATGACTGTTATAAAAACAAAGAGCATCAATAAAATGTATTATTTTAAAAATAAAGAAATAAAAAGAAAGTAGGGTTTTTTTTGTAGAAATTAGAGTGTGTTTATAATTTTAGACTCAATTTTTCACCTTCCTATGAAACAGTGAGCCTTAACCCTTTTTGTGTCATGGAATACCTTTGGTAGTCTGATCAAGCTTGTGGACCCTCCGACTCAAAATGCTTTCAAATTCATAAGACAAAATACGTAGTTTAATTTTAGTATAATTGATTTGCTTTGTAATTTTGTCAAAATATTAAATGAATTCATGGGTCCCTAGGTTAAGAACCTTTGCTTTTAGTTTTAGAAGAAAAATTAGAATTAATCATATTGTTATACTAAATTTCTTTAATTCTATAAATTAAATGAAAGCTATAATTTCATGTCTTTTGAATTTTAAAAAAAAGTAGTAGAGTTCAGTTTTTTACCATAAATAATAACTTTGTAAAGCAAAGCTTCTTTCCATTACTTATGAGAAACACATGTGTTTTGAGTACTTTCTAGTTAGAGATGAGTAAAGTTGGAGATATTAAAATATCTGGAGCATTTTCAGTTGTCCCCTCCTCCCAAATAAAAAAGAGGGAGAATATAAATAATGATTTTTAAGAAATTGTGTAAAGCACACCTAGTGTCTCTAACACTCTCCTTTTTTGGACACAACCTAATTGATGTTCATCTGTTTGAATTGTGGCCAGATACCCAAAAATAGCTTTAGGTTAGATTCATATTTTCCTTATTTTAGATTATTGACAAGAAAATCAATTGCTTGAGGTTCATTGGATCCACAGGGTCATAGATGTTGAGATGGAGGAGACCGTAAGAGCTTTCCAGTTTAACTTTGTCATTTTATAGATGAGGAAACCAAATGGTTCAAAGAAATTAAATGCTTTGCCCAAGGTCACAAAGGTAGTGACAGAGACTGTATTTGAACTTAATTCCTCTGACTTCAAATCCAGTGGTCTTTAATACTGTACCACTATGCTTTTCAAAGGTACTAAGACAGTTACTTTGGAAGCAATGATATCAGAACAGCCAGATGATTAACTGAATATGTTGGTGAAACCAGTTATCTGCTATTATGTAGACAGAGTTTTAATTAGCACAGAGCAAACAGGACTTTATCCCATAGTGCCAACATGTAGAAGATACTGATAGCACTTGTACTCTTTCTTTAGAAGAAACAAGCTTAGAACCTAGTTAATAGGGATAATCATTTAAAGCATGAAGGTACCAGATAGTATGCATCTCTGTTCTTCCTCCCCTACCCACCAACAACTGAACCTCAATGGAACTCCTTCTCAGCCTCATTTATGTTGCTTGTTATCTTGGTAGTGATGTTCCCAGAAGTAACCTCATGATGTCCCAGTGTCTTTTTCTTTACTTCCCCTTAAGTCCTAATGTCCAAAGTATCTCCATATGATACTCCTCTGCTGAATTAGATTCATCTTAATAAGTTGATTTGAGGGTGCCTTTCCTGATACTTGCCCTGGCGTGTTTTGTGGTATTTGCCTGAACCACAGGTTCCTGAATTACTTGTTATGGTCTGACAAACAAACAAAACTAATAGTTAGCATTTTCCTTTGAAGTTGGTGGTTTTGGCACTGTGTAAACATAGACTGAATATTTAGATTTTTAAAAATCATATTTTATTTCCTCCCTAAATTATGTGTAAAAACAAATTTTTACATTCATTTTTTTTTTTAAAGTTTTGAGTTCCAAATTCTTCCCTTTCTCCCTCCCTTACCTCCTCTCTGAGATGGCAAGCAATCTGATATAGGTTATACATGTGCAGTCTCATAAAACATATTTCCATATTAATCATTTTGTAGAAGTAAACTTGAACAAAAGAAAGAAAGAATGCCTTGGCAATCAGTATTCAAACACCATCAGTTCTTTCTCTGGAGGTAGATAGCATTTTTCATCGTGAGTCCTTTGGATTATTGTCTTGGATTATTGTATTGCTGAGAATGGCTAAACCATTCATAGTTGTTCATTGTACAATATTGCTGTTACTGTTATAATGTTTTCTGGTTTTACTTACTTCACTCTGCATCAGTTCATGCAAGTCTTTCCAGGTTTTTCTGAAATCATCCTGCTTCACATTTTTATAGCACAATACTATTCCATTACAATAATATACCATAACTTGTTCAACCATTTCCCAATTGAAGGGCGTTCCCTCAAATTCCAGTTCTTAGCCACCATAAAAAGAGCTGCTTGCTATAAATATTTTTATGTAAATAGGTCCTTCCCCTCCTTCCCCTTCCCCATTTAAAAAAAAATCTCTTTAGGATATAGACCTAGTAATGGTATTGCTGGGTCAAAGGGTATGCATACTTTTATAGCCCTTTGGGTATAATTCCAAATTATTCTCCAGAATGGTTGGATCAGTTCACAACTTCACCAACAGTATATTAGTATCCTGGTTCTCCCACATCCCATCCAACATTTATAATTTTCCTTTTCTGTCATATTAGGCAATCTGGTAGGTATGTGGTGGTGCCTCAGTTATTTTAATTTGCATTTCTCTAATCAATAGCAATTTAGAGGCATTTTTTTTCATGTGAGTCTAGAGAGCTGTGATTTCTTTGTCTAGAAACTACCTCTTAATATCCTTTGACCATTTATCAATTGGGGAATGATTTGTATTCTTATAAATTTGACTTAGTTCTCTGTATATTTGAGAAATGAGGCCTTTATCAGAGATACTGGTTGTAAAATTTTCCCTCTCGTTTTCTGCTTTCCTTCTAATTTTGGTTGCATTGATTTTGTTTGTGCAAACCCTTTTTAATTTGATATAATCAAAATTATCCATTTTACATTTTGTAATACTCTCTATATCTTATTTGCTCCTGAATTCTTTCCATATCCATAAATCTGACAGATAAGCTATTTCATGCTCCCCTGATATTTAGAATTTTTAAAAACTTCCTTTAAAATAGGGATACTTATTCTGCTTTAATATAAACAGGGACCAATGAATATAACTTAATATTAATAATATCTTCCTTTAAAATAGTGATTTATGGTTGAAACACATTTTCCACATCACAGTCCCGTGAAATACATAATGCAAGTATTATCACCCCCATTTTATAGATAGGAAAACTGAGACTCATAAAGATAAAACTTGCTTGTCATCATGTAACTAGTCAGGGGAGCATAATTAGTAAGTATCAGAGGCAGGAAAATTGAGTTTCATAAAGGCAAAACTACTAGCTTGTTGTCCTGTAACTAGAAGGGAAGCATAATTAGTAACTGTCAGAGTTAGTATTTATTAAGTGCTTACCACATGTCAGGTACATTACTAAGTGCTGAGGGTACAAATACAAGCAAACAAGACATTCTCTGTTCTCATAGAGCTTCCATTCTGTTAGGGTGGGGGAGACAACACATACAGGTATACTGGAAAGGGAGAGGGTGGCGGGTTATAGTATTGGGGCATAGTTTGGAGTTGGTGGCCAGGGAGAGGTGTCTGGTTCCAGGCCAGATAAGGCAATAGGTCACCTATCAGAATCCAGTGTTGTTTCAGGGAGAGAGTCCAAGTTTCTGGTGGGGTAGAGATGGTCAGAGAGTCCGGGCCACATTAAGGAAACAGTGGGAAGTGGTCATATGGAGTCCACGTGCTCTCCTCCTATACCAAGCTGGACTCTAGTAGCATTTTTCTGTATTTTGTATATGCCCTTCTATGTGCTTTATTAGCACGTTACCTAAAATGATGCTCCATGTATCCAAATGAGAATGGTCTGTTTCTGTTTCAGCTCAACTTAGCCTCTGTTGAAGCCGCGGATTACTTTTTGGATCCTCAACTTAGGGAACTTCCTTCAAGAGAAGCTCAGCTTACAAGTCTCCAGAGTACTACTGAGTTTGATATTCTTGTTATAGGCGGAGGAGCAACAGGAGCTGGCTGTGCATTAGATGCTGTTACTAGAGGTAAGGCCTGGCGTAGGTGCGGATAACCTGAGTATCTCTTTGGTTTCTTCACAAACCGTAATTTACATATGTTAAAAGTACTTATTGTGCTGTAAAATCATGGCTCAGACATTTAATGACTGTATGGCCCTGGGCAAGTCACTTAACACTGTTTGCCTCAGTTTCCTCATCTATAAAATGAGCTGGAGAAGAAAACCCCAAAAGGGGTCACAGGGAGTTGGACACAACTGAAAATGTCTAAAGAACAAAAGAACATTTTGGATAGACGTTGAATGGGTAATGAGCTGGGATTACTATCATTTAGAATAGTAATAGCGATGATAATAGCTAACATTTATATAGTGGTTGCTATGTTCCAGGCACTGTGCTAAACACTTTACAATTATTATCTCATTTAATCTTCACAACAACCGTGGGGGAGGGGTTGGGAGTGAGGGAGAGGATGTAGATATGATTATCCCCGTTTTACATCCTGCTGCAACTGAGGCAAACAGATGAAGTCAATTGCCCAGGGTCACACAGTCATTTAAGTGTCTGGGGCCACATTTGAATTCAAGTCTTCTTGACTCCAGGTCCAATGCTTTATAAACTGCACCACTTAGTCGTTCCTGGAAGAATAGAATAAACCACATTTCAGAAATGATTTGTTTTCTCTAAACAGTTTGTCTTAGGGACACTATATGGCTGTGAATTATTGAACATCACAATCTCAGAAGAACCAAAATTGTAAAGTAACCCACAAGATGATAGAAAGACGTTGTGGTAGGCACTAAAAGGCTGCAGCATATACCAATGATGAGTAGTGTATCAGAAATGGTAGGAAAGACATTAGTGACAGTTAAGGCCAGAAAAGAGTATGTGCCAGTCATTTAATAAGAATGAATGACGACGTATAGTTACAGTTCTCTAGTATGCTGAATAGATTCTCTATGGTGTACTTGTGGAAAGACCTGGTAATGAACTACCATAATGAGACAGCTTGGGGAAGTTGTATTCTGTACTGTGGAAGGAGTACCTATCCTGAGGAGGATTACCCACACTGATGAGGTCAAAGATTCATCTAAGATCATAGTGAAGAGTGCTAATGTGAGAGGTAGCTGGAATCAAGTCTGTCTTATTCAATGGGTAAAGAGAGATCTTCTAACAAAGTTGGAAAGCAATAGATATCTCAAGTTCCTTGTTCTTTTAGGGAGACAGTGCTTAGGATGTTGTCTTCATGTTTGGGTTTAGGCCCCCCCCCCCAATATTTATTTAATTGTGTCAGATCTTGGCAAGTCTCAATTTTTTTTCGTCTGCAGTATAGGGATAAAGAGGCAACCTTTGAGCAGTGCTCCATTTCCTGCCTTTGCGCCTTCTCGTTGGCTGTCCCTAATGCAGGCGGTTGTGCAACTAGGTGGGGGCAGTGGATGGAGTAACAGGCCTGGAATCAAGGAGGATTCATCTTCCTGAGTTCAAATCTGGGCTTTAGCACTTACACACTTAATCCTGTTTGCCTCAGTTTCCTCATTTGTGAAATGAGCTGGAGAAGGAAATGCCAAACCACTCTGGTGTCTTTGCCAAAAAAACTCCAAATGGGGTCACAAAGAATCAGATATGACTGAAATGACTGAACAATAACAACAATATGTGGAATACTCTCCTTCCTCTCCCCTACCTCCAGTTCTTAGCACAATCTCTCGCACATCGTGCTTTTTTGACTTGATTGCCTGTCTATCCTCAAGTCTTAACTCAAATACTATCTTCTGCAAGAGGCCTTTCTCCCTCCCTCCTACCCCTTCTCCCACCTCACACACTTTCCTTCTAAGATTACCTTCCATTAACACTGTACGTAATTTTTGTGTACATGGTGACATGCATGTTGTCTCCCCCATTAGAATGTGGAGACTTTTGGAGGACAAGCTCCGTATATTTATCTTTCTTTATATCCCTAAGCCTTAACATAGTGCCTGGAACATAGCACTTAATGGATTCTTGTAGACTGACTTAACATTGAATATCCTAGAATTTACTTCTGTGCCATTAAGAAGTATCAGAGTAGGATTTTGTGGAAGGTGAGCTATTGCTTGGTTGCTCTGTAGTTCTTCTCCGTTACATCCTTTTTCCTCCTTTAGTATCACAAGATCTGTGATTTCACTAGTATGGATACACTCTTCCCTGATATGTAAATTGTATCCGTTCTATGCCTTTTATGAATTGCTGGAATACCACAGACCACTCTATACCCACCCCCACCCCTAGTCCTCCTCAACACACCTGGTTACTAACCTTCTGGTGATGACTCTCTCCAAACTTAAGTAGGTTGTGTTTTGGGGTGACAACCCCAGAGTCAGTGGAGTTGTTGAGAAGCTTTTCCAGCTTAGTAGTACCTACCAGAATTTTCACTCTACTGATAGAGCTTTCAGGAAAGCAAGGTCATAGTCATACCATATTGAGACACTGAAGTAGGACTTTATTAGAGTCAGACATCATAGCATAATAAGTTTTGGAGTTTTAAAGCTCCCCAAAGTTGTCTAGTTTAAGTTTTACATTTTACATTTGAGAAAACTGAGAGTTGCCTAGGCTAAGTGATTTGTGCAAGGTCACACAGTTAATTTAAGTGAAAAGAGCCTTGGGTGAATGACTTCGGCTTTATTTACTTCCTTATTTGTAGAATTCAACTGATTAGTCAGAAAGACATTGATGAGAAGCAAAGCTGTTAACATTATGCAGTCCTCAGCACGTAAATCAAGTCCCTTAAATCCAAAACTTGATTCTTCATGTGATAATTTACTAAACTTATATAATAATTTATCAAATTAATAAATTAAATGTATTAATTTATTAAACATAATTTATTAAGCCACTGCGTGCTCTACTGGAATCCGTTCATTGTGAAGAAAACACAGCTAGGTGGCGCAGTGGATAGAGTACCGGGCTTGAAGTCAGGAAGGTTGAAGTTCAAATCTGGACTCTGATACTTACTGTGTGACTCCTGGGCAAGTAATTTAACCTCTGCTTACCTCAGTTTCCTTATCTGTACAATGGCGGTAATAGTATCTACCTCCCAGGGCTGAAATAATATTTTTAAAATACTTTACAAGCTATAAAATGCTATATAAATAAATATGAGGATGGCCCTCAGCATGTTGAGTCAACTTTCTATGGTGAATTTTTGGTAGGACATAAATAAGAATCATAAAGGATAGGTAGGAAATAAGGATGGGTTTTGATTCGCAATGGAGTAAATGCTGACATGGAATATAAACACTTGTATTGATGAGCCATTGGAGTAATTTGTTAAATAAATGGCACAACAAACCCTAAAATCTGTGCAGAACTGTTTTTCAAGGAGTGAATAAATTATAGAGATTTCTCTTAAGTTATTTTTAATGAACATAATGTTGGGAGAGTTGAGGGATTTTTGTTCCGTTACCTTGAAAGTATTATCACTCTATATGCTACATTGGTCATGTGGTGAATAATTCTGTGTGCGGGTTTTAAAAGTCGTGCTTGTACTTAGTGATTTCTAAGGAAAAGATATGCATTTTAATAGCTTAAGGCACATTGGTTATGGTTTTAGAAAACCCACCAGATTAGCTAAGTTATATTTGCATATTGGTTTTTATGGTTTATTTAAAGTAGTTGGTAAACCCATTTAGCTCTACAAGCACAGTTTTCATGCTTGTTTCCATAATATTGGTAGGTAGGCCTCCAGGGGAAAGTAGAATTTGTAATTAAAATGTACAAAGAATTGCTGAAGGTAATCTATATTTATCCTTTTACTGCATTTTCTGATCATATCAGTAACGTTCTGAAGTGTGAAATAATCATAGGCATTTGGTTAATGACTTGTTCATTGTTGCTGTTCATTCATGGAATTTGCTCTTTTATTATGTTTGATGCTTCACTTAACAACAAATTTTGCTTTCTCTGTCTTTGATATGTTTTCACCAAATTATTCCTGATTGTATCCATTAATCTTTAGTCACATTTGACAAAAATAAATTACTGTGATCTTTTAAAGTTACCAATAATAATTAGATTTTTCAGGACATCAAAGTTTTGGAGGGCCAGTAGATGTTAAAGCTCTTGTATATCATGGGTGCACAAGTTCTTTGATCACTATGATTTTGGGGGACCCAGAAGAGGTATGGTGAAGGAAAAGCTCCATATTCTTAATATCTGAACATGGGCTGTTTTACCAACCAATTAGGTTTCTTCCCAGCAGCAGTCAGATTGCATTTGCTTCTTAGGGGATATTGTTTTACAACAATGACTCCTGGTCTTTCCTCTCTTCTCCACCCCTCACTTCTACCTGTCGCTGTACTATACCATTCATCATGGTAAAAAGAACAGGATTGCTGTGTCAGAAAGAAGATGCTACCTGACTCTCCAGATTTTTCATTGGACAACAAGCTTGTTATGTGTCAACTCTGTGATATGGTAGCCACGATGTTAAACTGTACTGAGAGAGGCAGGAATAAGGAACTACTCCTACATTTCTACTCTGTACTCATCAGACTGTACATGAAGTATTGTGTTCAGCAGTGGACACAATGTTTTAGGAATGCTATTGATAACCTGACCTGCTTCGAGAGAAGAAGAATCAGCATGTTAAGGGCCTTGAATTCATGCTGTATTAGGATCATTTGAAGAAATGGAGGATGTTTAGCTTGGTGAAGAGAACATAGTAAAGGGATATGATAGTTTCCTTCTAAATATTTGAAAGGCTGTCATGTGGAAGAGGAACTAGATTTGTTCTGCTTGGCCTAACTGATCCCAGCTTCCTTTTCCTCATAGTCTTGACTAGATGTGGAATCAAGAGCCCTGGGTTTGAATCCTGGCTCTAACCCTAGCCATATGATTCCAGGCAAGTGATTAAACCTCTTTGAGCCTCAGGTTTTTCAATGTGGAAAATGGAAATCTGATATTTATGTAATCACCTTGTGGTGGTAGAGTAATATAAAAGTGTTTGATAAGCCTTAATGTGCAATAAAAATGTGATTTGTCTCTTTCAATTC